GCAGCAGAGTTGCAGATGATTCTCTGTACAAATCTGATAAAGGAATTGTAACTATAAAGATTAAACTTAAGACAAACTTAGACTGCTTATTTTTCATAATTAAAACACTTTTTTATTAGACTCACATGCTTAAAAATTAATATTCAAAACTGACAGACTGGAGGCCAGAGAAATGTTAGAGTAGATAAGGCATTTGCCTTGCATGCGCCCAAACCTGGTTTCCTCCCCGGCATCCTTATGGTAGGCCCCCTGAGTCCACCAGGAGTGATCTCTGAGCTCACAGCCAGAGTAAGCCCTGATCACCACCAGGTGTGGCCCCCACAAAAGACAACAAAACAACTGACACACTGCATTAGTATATTTCTGATCACAAAGTTTTCACTGTTTATTGTCACCTTATAATTAGGGGGTTGCCCCAGTGGTGGTGAGAGAGATATGGTACTCATATTATCTCCTGCTCCCAGTGCTAGATGTCACTAGGGCCACCAATAAGTTCTCTCAGAGGCTCATGTGCTGTTGGACATTCAACCAGGCCATAGTAGGCATGAACTCCAGCCCTTTATGCTATTTCTTCAGCCCCATACTGGCATTTGTATAGTAACTTTTCTATTTTTAAAGGGAAGCCACTTCAATAAAAAGATCAACAGGAGAAGAAAATTGGCCAATGCAACATATTCAAACTATATTGAACATGCAAAACAATGTTGGCATATTCTGAATGCCCTGGGGCCAGTCATCCAGTAACTTAGAGAAATAATCATGGATTTAAATTATCTTTGTATGATTTCTTAAAATATATTCCTGTGTATTGTGCTTTCAATAAACCGTCATTGCCAGTGAGGGCATTATTTTGGTATTCAACGGCTTTTGAAGTTGAAAAAATTATATAGTTTCAATAATCCCTATTGAAGTCTTATAATTAATAAACTTAGTCCTTGTGTGCATTGGTCCATAGCATCTGTTACTAATTTTAAAGAAAAGGTGGGGAGTGTCCAGCTATAGCCCTCGAGGGCTGAGGAAATTGTGTGGCCGGATAGACATAGACACAGACACATGTGCTTCTCTCAGGCTGCTCACACTTGCCCACCTACATGGTAAGGCCTGAAAATTATATTATAAACCTTCAAATGGCCATTGGCAGAAAAAGGTTCTTCACCCCTGTTTTAAAAGAACATTGAAGGCACATGAGAAAATGCTCTACATCATTAATCATCAGGGAGATGCAGATCAAAACAACAATGAGATATCATCTCACACCACAGAGACTGGCCCACATCCAAAAGAACAAAAGCAGCCGGTATTGGCATGGATGTAGCGAGAAAGGGACCCTCCTTCACTGCTGGTGGGAATGCCAACTGGTTCAGCCCTTTTGGAAAACAGTATGGACGATTCTCAAAAAGTTAGAAATTGAGCTCCCATTTGATCCAGCAATACCACTCCTGGGAATATATCCCAGAGAGGCAAAAAAGTATAGTCGAAGTGACATCTGCACTTGTTTGTTCATTGCAGCACTGTTTACAATAGTCAGAATCTGGAAAAAACCTGAGTGCCTCAGAACAGATGACTGGTTAAAGAAACTTTGGTACATCTACACAATGGAGTACTATGTAGCTGTTAGAAAAGAAGTCATGAAATTTACATACAAGTGGTTCTACATGGAAAATATCATGCTAAGCGAAATGAGTCAGAAAGAGAGGGACAGACATAAAAGATTGCATTCATCTGGGGAACATAAAGTAATAAAATAGGAGACTGACACCCAAGAATAGCCGAGATAAGTACCAGGAGGTTCACTCCATGGCTTTGAGGCCAGCCGCACAAGCTAGGGGAAAAGGCAGCTCAGATAGAGAAGGGAGCACCAAATAAAGGTGTTGGGAGGATCCTCCCAGGATGAGAGATGCATGCTGAAAGTAGACTATAGACCGAACATGATTGCCACTCAATGCAAACCACAGCACCCAAAAGAAGATAGAGAACAAAAGGGAATGCCCTGCCACAGAGGCGGGGGAGGGGGGGGGGAGGGATACTGGGATCATTGGTGGTGGAGAATGGGCACTGGTGGAGGGATAGGTACTTGATCATTGTATAATTGAAATCCAAGCACAAAAATTTGTTAGTCTACAACTGTACCTCATGCAGTTTCACTAATAAAAATTTAAAAAAAAAAACATTGAGTGACTTTATCTAGCCATCGCCCTACCTAACCTGCTGACAGCACCACCTGTGAGAAGGGTGTGTATACCTAGCATGGCATCTAGGGAGTTTCCCCACAGTATGTCCTCATGCCACCTGGTTTGTGGGAATTCACTTCCTTTGGCTCATGAACCATAATTGCTGCATGTATTCTACACGGATTCCTGCCGAACTCTTGCAGAGTTCATTTTCCCAGAAATGTTTCCATAACGTCATAGAAGGGAACACAGTGACTTTAAATAGCCATTGGCCATGGGCATAGAATACATTTTTAAAAATTGAGAATTTCTGAGACATACTGGAGGCAGTATTGTGCTCGTGATTGTGATTAATTCAGTGTGAATGAAGAAGAAGAAGAAATCTAAGGTAGCTCACAGGTGTCCAGGCTAAGCTGTTGGGTAAATTGCAGGGTAATTTAATGGAGAGGGATCAACAACCGGAGGTGGAACCAGTGGGCAGTTACTATAATGAGATCATTATGGGACATCCTGAACTGAAGTGCCTGAGGCGAGCAGGTGGTTATGTCAAGTAAGTAGATGAACATTTGAATGGTCTAGAGTTGAGTTAAAGACATCATTGGTGTGCTCAGTTTCACACCTGCCAGGAATCAAACTCAGGGCCTCATGTCTTCTACCATTATACAATATTGACCCCAAATCTATGTGATTTTTAAGGGTTCTTAGTAAGGAAGGGGAAGGAAAATGCCCAAAGACAAAATCCTACCATCTCTAGCACTTTGCCTTTCAATAGAGAAGGAGAAGCAGGTGAAGAGATGGAGAAAGAACAGCTAGAAATAAAGAAGGGAAACCAAAGAGAGTTTGTGCAAAGAGAGTGTTCCAACACTGACAAACAGAGCGAATAGGTCAAGCCCTGGGTTTCACTATTTAAAGGCCGCCTGTGACATTGATGAGGTAATTTATGGACACATGGAGACTATTCTGTTTAGAACCCAGAATTAGCTGGATAAAGAAGGACTGCAAAAGAAATGGTAGTGGGACTGGAGCAATAGCACAGAAAGTATGGCATTTGCCTTGCACGCGGCCAACCTGGGTTCAATTCCCAGAATCCCATATGGTCCCCACAGCATCGCCAGGAGTAACTACTGAGTGCAGAAGCCAGGAGTAACCCCTGTGCATCGCCAGGTATGACTCAAAAAAATAAAATGGAAGCATAAGGGATTGGTGAGAGATAGTATAGGGGTTAAGGCACTTGACTTGCACATAGCTGAGCTTGGATCGATTACAGGTACTGAATATGATCTCCCAAGCACTGCTGGGAGTGACCCCCGAGCACAGAGCAAGGAATTCCTGAGCACCGCAGGTTGTGTCCCCAACTCTCCTTTTACCCCTCACCCTCCAAAAAAGAAATGGAGACATTAAATGTAGAGGATTAGTTTGAGGAATTTGCCCTTAAAGAGAATATGGGATAGGTGAAGGATAAAGTGGGATTAAGAGACGATTTTAATTTTCTTTTGAAAATTGAAAAAAAATCTCCAAAAAACCTTTACTTCTATGTTCATTTTTTTTCTTTTTGGGTCACACCTGGTGATGCACAGGGTTTACTCCTGGCTTATGCACTCAGGAATCACTTCTGATAATGCACGGGGGACCATATGGGATGCTGGGAATCAAATCCGGGTCAGTCGTTTGCAAGGCAAACACCTCACCCATTGTGCTATTGCTCCAGCCTCTCTATGTTCATTTTTATCAAGAAGTATTTTAGATCTTTCTTATAAATATACATCAGATCTCTCAATTTTTCTCCTTCTTTCTACCCAGGTAAGTCTCAGGTTTGAGTCACATTTTTATATCCTCATTTGGACTAATTCAGTAGCTTCATAACTGGGCTATCTGCTTGCTTTCCTGCATTGTTCCTATCTCTTGAAGGCACAGATGTCAGAGTAAACCAATCATGGCACATGGAATAAAAGTCACATTCTTGGTACTGACCTGTATGTAGCTAAGGCTTTACAGGGTGCCATATCCTAGCTCTGTTCACCCCACCCCTTCTACAGCCTGGTCTTCCATCCAGCCTCCCTTGGCTCTTTGTTCTGGCCTCTCTCACTGTTCCCAGTGCTTAGCAAGCTTTTCTTCAATCTTTGAATGGCTGCGTCTTTTTCATTATTTATGACTCTGCTCAAATGTCATCTCATCCAAAATATCTTCTCTGACCTTATTCTCTTCTTCCACCTCTGCTTTTCCTCTTAATGGCTCTTATCATGTAAAACGATCGCAATTGTTTATTTTTCTCATCAAAAGTGAAGGTGGGGGAGCCTGAGTGAAGCCGATGAGAATATTAATATTGTCTTAATTACTATTGTACGTGTATTGTGGACTGCTATGTCATTTCTAATAAATTATACATGTGTATGTATAACGTTCTCAAAATTTAAAAAAAAATTCTTAGTTCTGTGAGGACTAAGATTGGTCAGCTTGTGGGAACTATGTCCTCATCACCGGAAAGGATATGGCTCCTGAGGCACGCAGAGACACCAAATCAGTTTTCTTAAATCCATGCATTATTAAAGCAAAATGCGAGCGCCTGAACAGAGGAAACTAAGGACCCTCGTTCCTAGCATCCCTGTCCTGGACCCAAGAGCCGAATTCGAATCTCCTGAACTCTTCCCCTTCCACCCCTGCTGCCTGCCTCCCTTATCAGTGAAGTTCTGGCTAGCGGATCCCGAGGACTGATTGGCACTAGAGGAGGCGATAAGCCCTCCTCGACGGCCTGGCGATTGCAACAGTGCAGAGCAGATCGCACCACCTTCGCAGCGGGCGTTCTCGCGCTGCCAAAAAGCATGACCCAGCTCCCACTTTCCTTCACTGGCTAACAGTTGGGTAAGAGGTGGCAGGCGTGCGCGGGCCTGGAAGGTTCTCCAGCTCGCGCAGGTCGTCCTCCCCTGCAGCTGAGGTTTCGGGTTTCAATCCTCCCCGGACCTCGAGACGTCGCGGCGTGCGCTGTGCGGCTGCCGCCCCCTCCCTGCCAGCCTGCACCCCGGCGGCTCCGAAGCTAATTTTCAGCGGCGCGGCGGGGCGCTGGCCTGCGGGACCCGGAGGCCGGGCGCCCGGGTGGAGGCTGCTCGGGGGGCCGCGCGAGCCGGGCGCGCTGGGAGGCGGCGATCGCAGCTGGGCCGGGACTTCCTTCCTCCACCGCAGGACAACAAAACAACCCGGCAGCGGGCGCTGGGCTCTTGGCAGCCGTCTGGGCGGGAGGCGCCGCGATGGGCTCCGTGCTGAGCAGCGAGGGCGGCAAAGCCGCGCCCGCCGCGGCCACCCCGCGGGCCCTGGAGCGCAGGAGGGCCCCCGAGCTGCCCGTCACGTCCTTCGATTGCTCCGTGTGCCTAGAGGTGTTACACCAGCCGGTCCGGACTCGCTGTGGCCACGTGTAAGTGCCCCGGGGAGCTCGGTTTGCGCGCCCACCCCGCGGCAGCGGTCGAGGCTGGGAAAGCCCCTGGGGGGTGTGTGTCGTGGGGCGGCGGGTGGAGGAGGGGGTCGGGCCGGGATGGGGGGCGTCTCAAAATGACAGAGCAGGAATGCTGCAGATGCCTGGGTCCCTTGGGGATGGACCCCTAGGGAGAGCTGAGCCTCGGAGAGTGGAAGCCGCCCTGGGCTCGCCTGCAACGGGGCGGGTGCCCAGAAGCCAAAGCAGAGTCCTCTTGGGCACCAGGCAGCGTGGCTGCCCCCCAGCAGCTGCCGCTGAACTCGGGGGTGGCCGCGGGGTGCTTCTCTGCAGCCCCGAGGCCGGGTGGGTTTTGTTTTGCAGGCTCTGCGCACGTGTTGCAGAGCACCCGCCGGAGCAAGAGCAAAGCAGGAATCTGTGACGATTCCCCCCCCACCCCCGCTTCCCGGGCCCTGTACTGAGACACTCGGACCCCTCCAAGGCCACCCTACAAGATCCAAGTGCCTTTCTGTAGTCGTTAGCGTGAGTGGGGTCTGGGGCTTGAACCTTAGTCCAGAGCCGGGGAGGATGTTGCTCTTTAAGACCCAGCCACAAAGTAACAGGAGATTGCAAACTACCTGCTTCACTGCATCGCTCCCCCACAAGTCTAGAGTCGAAATAAAAATACCTGTCTTTAAAAAGATGCACCGTTACAGAAAACTCGCTGTTGGCACAAAGTGTTGGTAGTCTGCAAGAATTTTTAAAGAGCAAATTCTCAAAATTGTCAGGCCCATCGTGTGTGTTGAGGTAACTTCGTAGCGAGGAGTTGGATCGGTGCATTTATTTGAGTTGCCCGATTACTCAGAGCTTTCTTGTTACGGATGTACGGGTAGGGGGGCTGAGTATGTAGTCCGGGAGCATGTTGGAGGAGTTGGATGGAGCGAGAACGGAAGCCCACTTAATGCCTTCTTTGGAAGGCTGACTAGTTTGATGCAGTGCCAGGCAAAACCACAATGGCTAGTAAGTGCTCATGCCTTTCCAGGAAAATGTACCATATTTTAAATGCAAGTGCTACACACTGTTTTGGGAAAGGGCTTAGGTGTTCCAGGCAACTATAGTCTAGAAAAAGAAGAAGTTTTTACCACTGAAAACCCATCAAAAAGTCAAGGAGAAACGTCTACAGCCCACACAATGTTCAGAGTCACCCAGGGGGGAAAAAAAAAACCAGATTCACCTAGGGTATTATTTGGTGGCTGTGTTTTCAGGTCTGTCGTTTTGGGTGTTGTACTTTAAACTCAAGGCTAATTTACCTTCTCTCTGATGATTCCTGATGGGGTGGCACAATTGACCAGCTGCAACTCATTGACATAATATCCAACCAAGGCCAGTATGAATGCCAGAATGCTGTTGTGTAACTAGGAAATGTATTGATTGATTTAGGGGAGTAATGACCTTATGATAATCACACTTAAATTTAGCCCGTATTAGCATTAAACTTTAAAGTTGAACCTAAGATGCACAGTGGGCTTCAAGACTTGAAGATTGTTTTTGCAGATCTGAAGTGGGTAGTTTCGCTGTCAGAGATTGTTTCCTCTGGTTTGAATTTAGTATGCCACAAATTTAGTTTGGGCTTCTGCTAAAGGACAATATAACTTTGCAAATGTTACATCTTTTGTTTAATCTTTTTCTTTGTTAGAATGAATAGGAAACCAGCAACTGGAAAAATTGTCATGAAGTAACAGGACAAGGGCAGGACAAATTGCCTTCCCTCATTTTACTGTTCTTTGTTTTGACAAATCTGTGTCCATTGTTCTGATTGTGGGCAGAATTTCCATATTCCTCCTTTTGGCAAATTTACTTGGGTCCCTTCCACTTTATAAATATTAACTAGAGTCCTTTCTGCACTGGAGGTGAGGAGTGCTGTTAACTCCACTTGTGCTTCCTAAATTAATTATTCTTTTCCATTGAATGTTAATTGGAAAATGAAGAAATAGAAATGAAACCGATGATATTATTCCATATTGAAACCAATTCCGGACTTGTTGGACTAGACTTTATGTTAATAAGTTTATAAACCTATTTCCAGTTAAATGCCTATAGTGATGGCAACAATACGTTGAATGAATGTGTATATGCTACTATGTATAAATTGCATAATGATATAGTAAAAAACATTGGGCTTGATAGGGCAAGATTTAATTATTAACTCTGCCAACTAGCCAAATATGTGACCCAACCATACTTAATCTCTTGAATCTCAATTTCTTCATTGAGAAATAATGGAGTTTTTAATGTATTTCAATATAATAGTAACCCATAACAATGGCTTAAACATAACCTATTTTTGTTCAAAGTAATTCAACATAACAAAAACTCATGAACAGGTACTATTTCTTGTCTCTAAATGTGTCTCATAATAAAACTGAGCCACAGAAGATTCATCTATGATGTTACCATGATGTCCCAAATCGCCTTTACTGTGCTTTTGGTTATGGAGGGGAAGTAGGTATGACTAAGCAGGGGATGGGCCGCCATTTGTCCAGAGGCAGTGGTTATGGATATATTTGACGCCATAGTTTTCCTGGATTAGTAATTTTTCAGCCATCCTGTCTCCACCTCATCTACACTCAACTTGGTAAAGCTCCACCCACATCTTGGATATTTTGATCTTAAAGCAGCAGAGACTCTGTCCTGGGCTTTAATCTTAGAGTCTCACTCACATGCCCCTTTTTTGGGGGTTGTGGATGGATATCATGACTTGACTAGTGTGGACTCTGGCAGCCGTGCCCTGTCTGGAGCCTGACATTGGGGGTTGTAGGCCACTATGAGGTCAGGCATGAATGTCCATTGAAAGGGACAACCCATACAAGCAGCCAGCTGCACATACTTCCTGAGAGGAAAGGCTGCCGTGTGGCCATTTCACACCAGGCCACGCAAGAGGACACGTAGCCTTGCTTTGAGATGAGTTTTTTTTTGTTTTTTTTGTTTTGTTTTGTTTTTTGGTTAACTTTAGGTTAAGAATTTGCATGTTTAGCACTTTATTCAAACTGACTTTCTTCACCCCTGTATCAGATGTATAGACAAATCTGAGGTAATAGATTTTCCCTGACATCTTCTGGAGTAGATATGTAGAAGCTCTATGATTGAAAATGGAAGGAACTAAATTTGCTTTTTGTGGGTTTTTTTTTGGGGGGGGGAGGCGGGGTGGTTTGGGCCACATCCAGGAGTACTCCGGGGTTACATCTGTCTCTCCACTTAGAAATTACTCTTAGCAGTGCTTGGAGGGCCATATATGGATTGAACCCAGGTCGCCCGCATGCATGCAAGGCAAACACCCTCCCTGTTTGCTATTTCTCTGTCCCCCGCCAATCCCCATACCTGCCTGTGCTCAGGACTTATTCCTGATGCCTACTTAGGGATCACTTTTGGCAGAGTGCTCAGGGGACCCGCCATATGTGGTGCAAGGATTAAATCCAGGTAGACCATGTCAAAGCAAGTTCTTTACCCACTGTACTCTCTCTGTGACCCTAAGAATTTACATTAAAATACTCAGAACCATGGATGTGATTCAGCTATAGAGTACATATCTCATATGTGTGAGGCCTTGGGTTCTATCCTTGGCTCAGCAACACTTCTTTTTTTTTTTCAGTTTAAAAACAGGTGAAAGAACTAGGGGGTGTGAGATAACTCAGAGTTAAGAGTGTGTGTTTTCAAAACTCTATATCTTGTTCCCCAGGACCACTGGGTATTGCTCCAGATGTCCCCAATGCACTGTTTTCTGAAGTGTTTCTGGTGGGCCCCAGAACCACAAGCTTGAGAAGTACTGTGTTCTGGGACCTTAGCATTAAGTTGCCTAGCCTGGTTGTGGAATGTTGCGCACACACACACACACACACACACACACACACACACACACTCTTGAGTGTTGCTGGTTGTGGAATGTTGCACACTCACACACACAAACTCTTGAGTGTTGCTGGTTGTGGAATGTTGCGCACACACACACACACACACACACACAAACTCTTGAGTGTTGCTACAGAGCCGCCGCCCACCCCCCAAGAAAGAAATAGAAATACTCTAAGCATTGTGTTGACTGATGGGATGTGGTAAATATAGTGGAATCAAGAAAACAAAGACAATGCCCAGAAGGGTAACAGAGATAGAGGGACTGAGTTTAGTTCAGGAGGAAGTTAATGAACTCATATTTGGGCCTGTTTAGTGGACAGCCATCTGATAGAGATTATTTTTTTTTAATGAACCAACAATTTACATGACTGTATATGCTTTAGTGTTACAGTTTCGCATCTCTTCAAAGTATATGTTACTCCACAAATACAACACTGCACTCTCTACCTCCACTGTAGTCTGCTGGAAACCCGCCTGTCTCCCTTCTCTCTGGTGCCCTCAGTTCTGTGGTGTCAGTCCGCAGGTTTGTGTCCATTGATTTTGTCTGTTTCCTGCTTTGCTTCTCTGTATTGCATGTAAGAGTGAGCATGGAATAACTGTCTTTCTCCTTCTGACTTATTTCACTTAGCATGACCCTCTTCAGTTCCATCTATGTTGGTACAAAGGCAAGATTTCATTTTTTTTTCTTTCTCATAGCTGAATGGTATTTCACTGTGGGTCATTTTCTTTATGTATCTATCTTGGGGCACTTACACTGTTTACAGATCTTGGCTGCTGTAAATAGCCACAGTAAACACAGGTATGCATATAGCCTTTCAAATTAGTAATTTTTGTGTTCTTGGGGGGCTGGAGCGATAGCACAGTGGTAGGGCGTCTGCCTTGTGCGCAGCCAGCCCAGCCAAGCCAGGTTCGATTCCTCTGCCCCTCTCGGAGAGCCCAGCAAGCTACCAAGAGTATCTTTGCCTGCATGGCAAAGCCTGGCAAGCTACCCGTGACGTATTCAATATGCCAAACACAGTAACAACAAGTCTCACGATGGAGACGTTACTGGACCCGCTCGAGCAAAATGATGAATAATGGGAGGACTGTGACCGTTA